TGCAAATGAAGCAATCCGCTTGTAAACAGTTTTCTCGGGTGTTATTTCTCGGGCTTCCGAAGCAGTTACAGAGAACTAGTATTCAGAGAAGCAAAGGAGACAAAAGAGCAGAGAGGATAGCTTGCTAGCTGTCCAGCCCTTCGAGAGGATGAATTGATACTGCTCAATGGTGGTGGTGAGGAAGAGAGGAACACAACTTGGTATTCCAACCGATGCTACTGAGTCCTTCCTTTCCTCCTCCGACATTACTTCCTACACAGGTAGTGGCTATGTGTAAGGCGTCCACAGCCTGCACTCCAAACCAAGTTGTCTGGATATTACCCGATTTGGCCATCACGTGGGGGGTCAGCATGCCGCTCAGCCATCAATGAAAACCCTTATGCGAGATTACTCGTGTACTCGAACCAAAGGTATTCCCATTATACAGATATGAGAAGTGAGGTTGTAGAGAAGTTTCGAAGATTCATGCATACATTGAGTGCATGTCAGCATCGAATGCCCCGTCGACGAGCTAGCTACATCGTAACGGGGCAATTGAGGTATGAGCAAGAGTTTCCTCCTGTTGCATAAATATGCACACGCGAAAAATAGTAACTTGTTCGAAAACATGAATTGGGTGCCAACCAGACTACCGTAACTAGTGCCAGCATATCGACTGTATCTATATCATGCAACTCGTCTGCCGTATCAATTTGCAGCCAAGAGATTCATGTGTAACCGATGGTCAATCAAGTGATTGGGACACTAGGGCGGATGCGGGGAAAGCTGAACGCTCAGGACACCATAGTCCGGTTGGCACAACAGCCCCACTAAGGGGGTCAGGACCAATCAAGCTAAGATACCCTGGTTCCCATTCCTTGCCTAATTGTTGTGCACACGAGGTGCAGGACAAACAAAAGCTAATCCTGAAACTACCGCACTATCCAGTGGTCTTCTGGGCCGGGCCTCGGGAACAAATCCATCAACTCTACTCTAGAGTATAATTGAGCCTCAAAATATCCGTGTGCATCTCCAAGCTCAAATCTCACTCACTAAATCTGTGTTGAGCTAGACATATCAGAATTGCGAGATGTTGAATGGGGCGTTATACGGTACTGTATACCCTCGCGTCATAAAGGTGTTAAGCCGGATTCGCGGCTGCAAAAAGCAAAATCCAAGTACTGACTTCCGTAAGACGGATCGAATACCCTGGCCACCATCGAACGACGAAAACCATCTTTCTTGTTGGAATAGGCAACTTAGAAGTACGCAATCTTGCGAGAGTCACATGCAACCTCACTCCATGGCAGGGTGTTTGATTGGTAGATGAATGTCTCGTAGTACCTACTCGATACCATGGGTTACTACCTATTCCACAAGTCCAAAAAGATACAACACGATGGACGAGTCGGAGATGCTATGCAGTGTGTCCCAGAACTCATGTCAAGTGTAGATTGCTCTGTCAAGGAATTCCCAACATCAAGATACAATCTATCAGCAATGGCTTCGTGGCAATTGGCTTACTTTTGCTCTGAGAGTCACTCAAGGAGAGATATCTGGCCGCCTTGATACCCCGCGAATAAAGCTCTAAAAATTTCTGCTATTTTCGAATTCGTGGCAAGTTCTGGGGATTAATGCACCCCGGATGATTGCCGTTAAGGGTCTATGGGGATGGCAATAGCTCGTTCCTATTAATGGCCCGGCACATGTGCGACAACTATGCACAGCTTCCCCCAAGTACTATACTCTACAGTAACTTGGGGTTCTCCCGGAGCAAATCGCTTGTCTTGTAGAGTAGATACTGAACCTTTACATTATGTATTCCTTGGCAATCCCTAACCATTCAGTGTCACGGCGAACTCAGCAGGAGCTGCCGCAAGTAGCAAGAGTGTTGTGCGAGACAAAAAAGCAAACTATTGGTGCGACCCATCGCACTTCCCCCATCTTCGTTAACCACATAGCCAAAGAGGAGTCTCAAGATCTCGAACCCGTCTGCGCACCACCCCCACCAGAGATTAGGAACAAGCATCTAGTTAGTGAGGTTTAGAGCCCTGGTACGCCATCTCTATCCCCGCGCCGTTTGTCAGACTACGCCGTTGGGGGCTGCTTCCGACCTGCGTGCTGACTAGCATCTAATAATGGCTGTTAGGCCCCCATTGCTCGAGATTCAAAAATCTGAACCTCACACGTAGCCGAAACCGCCAGCACAGCCGGGGAGAGTATTGATCCAACATACAGCAAGGAGCAGAACTGAAGTCCTCCGTGCCTCCCCTCCATCCCAGCTTCCCTTTCAGCGTCCATTCACCAGCACCAGCACCAGCTCTCCTACTCTCGTTTCACACTTTAGAATTTCATTGCTTCTAACCGCATTACGCCTACGTCACAGTCGGCGGGTAACTGAGAAGAATATAAGGCTGCCTCATCTAAGCGATCAGAATAGTCTAGGATTATTGTAGGAAGAAGTATTGGTAAGTGTTCCATAAGCTCATCAAAAGTCATTGTTTCAATGCTCGCCATGCTTTCCTCAGACAAGCTTGTCTTATCGTGCGGTATAGGGGCTCGAAACTCAGAATTACTGATTGAAGAGTGTTGCCCAGAAAGGACGATCAGAGCGCGTGCACACGAGATCAAGAAAATATTTGCAGATAGGATGGATTCCTATTCATACTACAACCCCCAGGCTTTTGCACCTGTTGGGTTCCCACCGACACCTCAGAATGATTTTGATCCTGATTCGCCTCCGGTGAGTACATTTGGCTGTGATATTCTTATTAGGTCACAATTCCCTGGTTCCTTCCGGGTACCCTCTTAGCTATAATGCTTGCGAGTTCTCTCCTTTAATTTGACAAACTTACTGACTGATTATTGTGGGTGTCTAGAATAACTATGCGACTTTTGAGCAGTATCGAGCGTTTGACGAGGGGATTAATGGATTACAGACGCCACTCAGTGCTCAGCATGGGATTATAAAAGCACAGCCGCTGGATATAGATCAAGACATGAACGAACATAGTATACGGGGAAGGAGCAGCAGCGAGGAGAAGGAGCTGACTCCCGCACAATCTGTATGACACTATTTCCACTTCTCTAGTGGCAGGATGTGAAACAAATAACTAACATATAAGTCTGCAGAGGCGAAAAGAGCAAAATCGCCAAGCGTACGCACCTTTCCAACGTTTATACATTAAAAAGGTGCCCTAACTGACAACATAGACAACAGACAGCGTGCATTCCGAGAACGCAAAGAGAAAGCCTTCAAGGACTTGGAGCAAAAGCTTGCGAACATTGAAGCATCATCATCCAGCATTTTGAACGAAAATGAGATACTTAAGCGAGAACTCCAGAAATACCAAACCGAGAACGAAATTCTTCGCGCCACAAGCAAGATGAACGCTAGCGCGATTGTGCAAGCTGCTACGGCAGCCGCCGCCGCCAACAACGCCGCCCATGATGATGGAGCTGATATCTCTGTTGGTCCGATGCAGTACAACCCCACTGAATTTTACGACAATCTTCTTGCCACCCATGCGAATAAAACACCGAGCCACAGGATTGTTTTCTCGCCAACCACAGGCGAGAGGTTACTAGGTGCCGGAGCGACATGGGACCTCATTGTAGGGCACCCACTTTACAAGCAAGGATTGGTCGATGTTCAGGAGGTTTGCGACAGGTTGAAGGGTAGTGCGAGATGCGACGGTCAAGGGCCAGTTTTCGAGGAAGGTGCCATCCTGGCGTCTATCATGGCAAGCGCTGCAAGTGGGAGGGATGAGCTTTAAATGGCATTATATGGTGAAGCGGAGGCGGGCCGGGTGGATGGCAGTGAAAAGAGGAGTGGATACTATACCCGGGAATGTTTGTCTGGCGTAGTTCAGGCGTTTCAAGTTAATTGGCTGTTGATGTGGACTGAGTGCAGAAAGTGAACGACAGGGGGATTGGTCATTTATGGAGCGCTATAGTCACACAAATGTCAGGACGGCTGTGTGATGAGCAATGCCATTGGATATCAATGGAGATCTAAACAATAGTCGGTAATAAGACTAATAAGCGTCCTCGACCCTGGACAGTGGCATAATCAAAAGCCTGATCAACTATCTATTACTCAGTCCACCGCATTGCGACTGTCGTTGTCATTATCTTTTAGGGAGGAGAGGCTTTGTTTTTTGTTCTTCATTTGCATTTACCTTGTGTTTGCTATGGAGGCTCTATTTTATTTTTTTTAGGTCTTTCAATATCTAGGTTTTGGCATGCAAGGCAAGGTACCACAACATGAGACGCTCGTTTGAAGGGGTTTACTTTTGTGGGTGCTTTGGTTTGGTATATCATATCAATAAAGCAAGTATGGATGTAGGTCGGCTTCTACTTCACCTATACACCTACATATACGCCTACACTACATGTACACAAATATGCTTGGTATCAGATAGTTGGGCTTTATGGAAAGTTCGTGATACCAGTGGGGCTTATGACATGCCCGCTCATGACCAAGGAGCAAGAGTCTCTAGCAGTTCTTGCAGTATTGAGGCTAGGGTGCAGCTGGGAGAACCCTGGGTTGGGGGTTTGTGGCATGGTAAGACATAATTGCGAGTGGCGAGAAGATTAACGGATGTTGTTACCGAATCTGGTATTTCTTTGACGTTTACAGACAAGTTTTCCAGCGCTCATGCTCGGGCCAACTATAGCTAGACTCCCTACGATCGCACGATATATCATGCAGAGCCATACCACGTGAGCCATACTTGCAATTAGTCGCAACTAAATAAGCTTGGATCCTGTATACATCGGCGTATGCCATGAGGTTACCCCAGCGATTCTGATATGTTGTGATGCGATGGAATGAAGCCTTTATATTCACCAGACCCACTTAGGTACCTATATACCAGCATCTGCATGCATGCATCCAGAGAAGGGGATGGAATCCATAGATATGGATTCGAAGTGCTCCTCGTTGGTGAAGTGGATAGAGTGCCTAAGTATCTACCTATATTTGTTTTCCTACGCACTTTACTGAAAGTAGAAATTCATCCGTCGTGGTGTAGTGGCTAGCATTTGAGACTCTCATTTCAGGTGAATGAGGACTCTCAGAACCCGGGTTCAATTCCCGGCGACGGAATCTCCTCTTTTGCATTTTTACCTTCTGCCAAGGCTCACGTGATTTTTTTTTTCAGTTTCTTTTTGTTGAATTTCGGCAGATAATTGAGTTGCTGTATCATCAAGACATGAGACCGCTGTAACAAAGGACAGAAGTGCTTTTCAAAGAGAACAAAGATAATAAAGAACGTATCAAACAATTCCAAATTGACCATCGTTCAGGACACCCGTAGTTGACCATCATTCAGGACACCCATAATAATAGTCCAACACTTTTTGACTGGTTTCAACAGCAATGTAAATAACAGCTCATGTGCAGCATATAGCTACTGGGGACCCAGGCTATATAGCTACCAAGTAAGCTCATGCTTCATTGATCGTACAGGCTCTGAACCATCTGTTGATTAATATATATTCTATCAACAGACCTTTCCGCCATATTTCCATACTTTCTACCCACACCTATCCTTGATAGCTTAAGAATCCAAACCACTGTGAGGTGAATGGTCTCAGGATAAGTTCAAAACCGACTTACGTGTAAATCAGTGAGAAATATCCTATTGATACATATAATATAACATTGGGTTGGAGTTGTGCTGCAGGTTCTTATAATACAGGTAAAACTGACGACCAAGTTTGATGCACTGCTATACCTACTATAGCTATGTGCATTGGAATATTGCTTATTGTTTATGAGCTGAGTACTTCTCGATCGGGGAGCAGGAAGTTCAGGGTAACTCAGTGCTGCCATTAATATTTCGCTTCGTCGTTTTATACAAGCAAAAACATGTCAACTTTGCAAAAACAAAAAAAAAAAAACTATCAACAAACCATGAATCAAAATTCGCTCGAAGTTGTAAAAAACTCAAGAAACTTAAAGATTATGACTCCTTGAAACGCACTGTAAATTGGTAAATTGCCCTCAGTGAAGAATCCTTTTCCCATACAAATTTGCTATGTATCTATGCCGCTCCCAAGAGATTAGGGCTTCCAGCTGACGAAATACCACGTCAAGAGTTATATGTAGCCTTTCATGAACTATACCTATTTACCGGATATCAGCAGAATTGATGGAGTTTTTAGAAATGTGGCACGTTTGGTGCGAAGGGCGAAGACTAATGTCCTGGAACTATGGCACATATGGGGCAACGAGTTCTCTTGTAAGAAGTAACAAACGAATGACTCTTTGCTGAGGTTTTGTTCGCGTGGTCGTGAGTTATGGTCATTGCAAATATAATCAATAGAGCCAAGGAAGTGTAGGTACCGAGCCAAAGAATAATAGCACACTTTCTGACCTAAACGTAGAAATTGATTCAGAGGACTGAAACGAAACTAGATGTATTATGGTCGACAGCGCAGCAAAACAAGAACATATAGCAAATCTCAAACATATACGAATTGAAAATCCAATCTAGTTAAAATAAGTAATACATCCTATACCGCTTAAAGCTTACTATCCATTTAACATCCCACTCCACTTCATCCCACTCCACTTCATCCCACTCCACTCCATCCCACTCCACTTCATCCCACTCCACTCCACTTCATCCACTCCACTCCACTTCATCCACTCCACTCCATCCCACTCCACTCTATCCCACTCCACTTCCATCCACTCCCCTAAATCTCCCCGTCACTAACCCAATGGGCACCTCCTGCACACCTCCAACCCCCCTTCTGCTTCACCCACTCAAACTGCGCAACACACACTCCCATCTCCTTCAACCTTTTCCTCGCCCTTTCCTCCTCCACATTCACTCCCCGAAGTTTAGCTTTTTCTTTATCCCGCTGTAGCTGCCTCCATATTTCATCAGATACCCCTGGGTCTCGACCATCACCACCGACGTCTTCGCCTCCATCGTTGGGGGGGAGTTCTTCAGGTGGAGGTGGAGGAGTAGAGCATTTCGTCGCGGTTGCTGTAGCTGTGCGAGGAGGTGGAGGGGGTGGAGGTGGAGCCTCAAACTCTGGTTCCATGTACCTCCTGTTCCACATATCCTCAACAGCCTTTTCCAAATCCGGCTTTGGTACCTTCGTTTCCCTCGCTTTCCGTTCCCTGAGCATCGCCTCCATAAATCCTCGTACCTCCTCCTCCCTGACAAAGAGGGTGGTGCCATCCTGCCAACCAACATCGCCCCTCAACACCCCACCCACAACAGACTTAGCCAGCCCAAGTACATCCCTCGCATTTCCCCATCCTTTCAAGGTGACCAAACACTCCATCACACCCACCATCTCCTTATAACCTTCCCCAGCCTCCTTCGTTCCCCTAAGCACAACATCGCCCTTCTCCAGCTCCTTCATCAGAAGCCTCAAGCTATCCTCAGCGCCCATCGGCCTGAAACTAATCTCCTCTGAGAACCTACTACTCAACCCATCATTTTTCCCAAAAAGTTTATTGATATCTTCTTCATACCCTGCCAAAATCACCACCACCTTCCCCATAAACTTTGGTTTCGTGATGATATCCACCAACTCATTGACCACTTCCGTCGAAAACGATCCTTCTCCAAGCCGATATGCCTCATCGATAAACAGCACCTTGCCTAGCGCAGACTCGACTTTTTTGCGTGTCTTTGGTCCAGTCCACCCCACATACCTTCCTACCAAATCCGTCGCCGAGCACTCCACCACTTCGTCACTGCTTAGAAACCCCATATCCATAAAGACCCTGCCGACCTTTCGCGCAGTAGTAGTCTTCCCTGTCCCCGGCGGTCCTTTGAAGACAAAGTTCGTAGGCACAACTTCCCTTGGATCTCGTCCGCGGGCTTTACATGCCTGGGCGGTCTTTTGATACCCCCTTAATTTCTGAATGATATCTTCACATCCAACCACTCCTTCGAATAGTTTCTCTAGCGACTCTTCTGCTCTGGTAGCCCGATCAAACTCGGGATCAAAATCCGACTCTTCAAGAATTATCTCTCCTGGTCGCTCCTGTACTGGCATGGTCCTCATCCTTCTCAAGTACCTCTCCTTTGCTGCTGTCAATAGATTCTCTACCTCTCCTGCATTACCAAAGTTAGGAGTCATCCTCGCCCTCTCCAGCACCTCCACCGCAACCTTCTTTCCCCTTTCCGTTACACCTAAATGAGCCTTCTTCAGCTTTAAATCTAGAATCGAATCCAATTGCTCTATACTGAAATCCTCAAACTTAAAGGCCTGATCTAGCGGAAATCTTCGTGCGAATCCCGGATTCACACTTTGAAACATGTTTGTCATCTGGTCTTCATACCCAAGGAGTAGAACGCATCGATCCTCTCCTGGAACGTTTTGCACTTCAGCAACTAGGGTATCGATCACGGCGGTGCGGAATATATCGCCATTTTCACCACTTTTATCTCCAGAGCTGCTGCTGCTAGAGTATAACATGTATGCCTCGTCGATGATGAGAACCTTGCCCATAGCCGCCTGTAAGATACCCTTTGTATTCTTTTCTGATTCGCCTATGACTGCGCCGATGAAGTCTGCTGGATTCTTGACGAGAACTGCAATGTGAACATTAGCACATACCATTATTTTTTGGGGAATATACCCATTAGGATCACCGCGGAGATACCTTCGCCATTGCTTAACGCCCCCAAATCCTTCAATATTTGCCCATACAGCTTCGCCACACTTGTCTTCCCTGTTCCCGGGCTGCCCAAAAACACCCTATTCAGGCTCACTTCCACAGGTGCCAACTCCCTCAGCTCCCTCAAATAGTTCGTTTCAATCCTGTCAATCAACCCTCTCACAGTCCCCTTGACGTTTTCCAACCCAATCAGCTCCTGCAGCTCCTTCCATGCCGCACTGTCCATCACGGCTTTACTCGGATCAGGGCCGATCAAGTCCTCCTTAGAGAACCAAAAATCATCCGGCATTCCCCCCTCCTTCCTTTCACTCGCAACTCTATTGGCCTGGCGTTCCGTAATTATCGCAAACGCATTCTGAACTGCTCGGGCGTTACTGAATCCATCCTTCCCTCTTCCCCTACCAATCCTCCTGATCAAAATCCGTATGTATAGGCCTGTGATCCCACCTTCCATTTTCATCTTCCCCATATACTTCTCTTGCACCAACCCTCTTAGAATCCACTCCAGCTCCTCATTCGTGTAATCCCGTAGCGTAAGGGAATAAGGAAAGCGACTGTTCAGTCCCGGGTTATGTTCAAAGAACTCCTCCATCTCCCTTCTGTATCCGGCAACAATCACCACAATCTCACCAATGAATTTCTCCATTTCCCCCAGTAAGAAATCCAACACAGGGGACCCACCGGTACCGGCTGAATTCTTTCTGGTCAACTGGTAGGCTTCATCAATAAACAGCGCACCACCCCCCTTATTTCTCAGCTCATCAATACACTTCTGTGCTCCATCAATCCCTCCATGGGTTAAGAGCGCTCCCGTGATTTCTTTTATCGTAGGGTACGGAATAACCCTCTCCTTAGCTAGTATTTCCACATAATGCTTTGCCACCGTGGTCTTTCCTGTCCCGGGGTTCCCAAGAAACGCGATATTGAATCTCTCATTTCTCAGGCTCGTTCTCTGGCGCTTGCTAATATCCACCTTTGCCTTAATCCTCAATACGTGCTCCTTGACGTTCTCAAGGCCAACCATCTCCATTATTTGGTCAATATGTCGGTTATATGCAGAGTCTACACTCTTTTGCCTCTGCCACTCCTCTTTTGCTGGTGAGATATATTTCGGTATTGGAGCCGCTTCCCTAGGCTCGCAGGTATTGAGTGCATTGAGTGCATCGCCTTGGCTATTTCTTTTCGCTTTGTTCATGCTCTTCAGGTCTTCCTCGAGCTCCTTTAGATTCTGTCTCAACATCTCCGTTAACTTTTCCCTCTCCATCTGATCATTGAGTTTTTTGATCTGCAAATTGCAGTCAACTTCACGAAGGTCATGTTTACGTTGAATCTCGATCATCTCGTCCTGATGTAGCTTGTCACTCTCACTCTGTTTCCTTTTGGCCTCATCCTCGTCCACGCAGGATCTACAGAACTGGGGATACCCCTTGTAGCAGGGATAGTAGGATATATGG